TTCGCTGGTTCCTCCTTGCCTCCGCGATCGAATCCTTCATTGGAGTCACCTTCTAGGAGGAACGGTCCCAGTTATTCGGTTCCTAACAGTATAATGTACGGGTTGTTCTCCACTGGGTTAAAACTATTCACTCATGAAGATATCCCATTCGGATCAGCAATCGGACCGCAAATGTCCAGATCATTGAGAGCGGTCCTCAAAGAAATGGATCATGCATTCGAGCATGTTCTCAACTTTAAGGGTTCAAAACATGAACATTAAATACCAAGCACTATTAATTTGTATGTGACTACTTTGCCTCTGATGCACTATTTGAGCCCTATTTCTAATGCTGATTCTAGGTGCGGTGAATTTGTTCAAATGGAAATATCAAGATGTGAGGGCCTATGATGATTACTTCAAGCCTAAGAAGGATGATGTTGGCTGCATTGGGTTCTCTGGGTATTAGAAGTGCACAACTGCTATCAGGATGCTTCCCTATGGCACAGTCGTAGACTCATGGAATGAGTACCTCCGAATGTCTGAGAGCACATGCCTAGATGTCAAGATTAGATTTGACACTACCATGGTCAAGGTCTTTTAACTGAGTACTTGAGAGAACCAACTGCCGCAGACACAACAAGGCTCAAGTCACTTGAAGAATCAAGAGGATTCTAGGTATATGCTCGAATCCCTGTATTGCAGTCACTGGAAATATGAGAAATTGTTATGCTCAAAAAGTCCAAGACAAGGGCCATTACAAAAAGCCCACCATAATTCTTAAAGCACTTGCATCATAAAACTTGTGGATTTGATATTCTTTTCTTTTGCATGCCAAGATCTCACAATAACATCAATGTGTTGCAGCGGTCTTGATTATTTGAAAAGTTATGTGCGGGCGAAGCTCCTCCGTGCAATTATGAGTACAACATGGGGTAGTATCTTTGTGATGGTATCTTTCATCCATGGTAAACCTTTGTCAAGACCATCTCGTCGAATAGGTAACAAACAATGCAATTTGTTGGATGATAGTAAGGTGCTATAAAGAATATGTAGAGAGACATTTGGAGTGCTTCAATCTCATTTTCAATTGTTTGCGGACCCAACTAATCAATGAGATCCGGAAACATTATGGAGGTGATGATTGCTTGTGTGATCATGTACAATATGATTGTGGAGGATGAGGGTGAGGGAGCTCTCCATGGTCTGAAATTTTAAGAGATGCGTGATTATCCAGCTTTCAGAGTAGAATCAGGTCACATTTAAGGATTTTATCCAAATGCAACATCATATTTGTAATCGAGCAACTCATACACAACTTCAAAATGATTTGATTAAGCATCTGTTGAGGTTTCACATGGACAATTATAACATGTGTTTGAATAAGTTAAATTCAAATTTGAAATATATTTTTATAACTTTTTGTTTCAATTGTAATATTTTTATTTAAATTACCACTGCATTGGAATATTTACGGATGGATTGTGCTATTTATTTCTGATTATTTTCAGTATTTTGAGTATAGAAAAAAAGGGAGGGAGCGAACATTTGATGGCTTAGGTTGAATGGCCTTCGTGATGTCCAATACATGATCTGCGTCGGAGTTGCCCTAAGGTCCCTCGTATAATAAAATAAAATAAAATAAAAAGAAGAGATGGGCAGTGAGGTGAAAGTAGTGTGGTGTTATGACTTCCACGCCCGCTTATGTGCTCATGCATCAACAACTTCTTGTTGTTCCTCCAAATCCCAAGTGATGCAGGGTCATGTCTTGATTTGTGCCCAATCTTCACAACTTGGATGATATAAAGAGGAAGAACACAGAGAACTCACAAACACAAGAGGAAAATCACTCAAAAAAAGATCCATATCACACATGTGCTCTTGCAACATCTAAACCAAGATACACATGTAGATCCACAAGAAACAAAAGTAGAAGTAAGGGATAAGACCAAAATGAGACGTCTTCTTCAAATCCTAGAGGTAGACGAGGTCTTGATGATCCACTTAGAGGTCTTGGCGATCCAAGTGAGATCCTTCTCAAATTAGGAGGTTTTGTTCCTCTAGGAGGAGATACAAGGAGAAAAGTTCTCTCAAGTAGTCTAATTATGATTTGCTAACCCCTAGAATGTACGAGGGTACAAGGGACATTTCCCCAAGACTCCTCACATGGAGGCCCATGTGCACGGGGCGGGTGCATGAGTATCCACAGAGTTGTCGTTAACATCTCGTGTGCACTACGCGTGGGTATTCGGTATAAAAAAATATTCAGTTTCTACCATTCGTTTTTTAAAATTCTAACAAGGTTGGAAACCAAAAAATATATTCTAAAATAACTAACCAAAAATTTGGTTAACCGAGTTTCGGTTTGGTATTCGGTTTATATATTTGCCGGTAAAAGAATTTGAGATGTGCCTAGCTTCCTTCCTCGTGCAGCCAAGGGAAATACCAAAATAGTTCAAAAGTTTTTTAGAATTTTGCACTTCAGGGAAAAAAAAACTAATCCTCAAACAGTTAAATTTATTTCTAAAATATTTTCAGAATTTTTTGATAAGTTTTCCCATAAAATGTTCCAAATTTATTTGTAAAATAATTTTCAGAATTTTTTGACTTAAAAAACACTTTTTTGGAATCAATTTTGTTTTTTTGGATGAACTCAATTTTTCCTGGAACATTTGAGATATGTTTTTTGCCATCCACTGTTGAGATGGGGATTTTTTGCTTGCTCCTATAATCGTTTTTTCTGGCTAATGTTGCTGCACTTATTCAGCAATGAAAAGCTCCGCAAACAAAAGAAAAACTGGATTAACAAACACAAACTGAACCAAGACAACCGACAGCATGAAAAAAGAATACTTTGAATTCGATTCAAACTAGTATGAATTGTTGTTGTTACATGCAGAGTAAGTAAACCCAGCTCTCTTGATTCGAAAGCCAAGCAAATCGCTAAAACATATGATATGAATGAACTGAATATAGTTGTTTACACCCTGGTGTATCATATCAGACAGTAACTAAGCTTTCAAGCTCGAAAGCCGAGCAGCAATTCCTAAAGCAGACTAGGCCAGGCGCTGAGGAGCGGCCACTGCTGGGGCGCGCAGGGACACACGCCCGTACTGCTCACAGGAGTACTTCTTGTAGATGGCCTTGAGCTTGCTGTCCGGAGCAGCTGCGTGTGCCATGACCAGCATCTTTGCAGGCTCCCTGAAAACCAACAAACAGATAGAATGTCCATGAGTTCCAGCTCATTCAGCAAAGTTCATCAGGCAGGTACAACAGAGGGACAAGTGAATGGATCACTCACAGGAGCTGCGGTTCAGCGAATCCGGTGTGGTGCTTGAGGGTTTCCGTCCAGATGGGGCTTCTTTTCAGCGTGCACCGGGCAGCGTACACGGCAGAAGCTGCCACCAGCGAGGGGCGCACGGTGACCAGCCCGTACTCCATGAGCGCCAACTCGGCGAAGAAGAAGATCATGTTTTCGAGCTGCGTTCATTCACAAGAACAGGAGGAAACGAAATTCAGCACCACGTACGACGCAAATTCCATGGCAGATGGCACTGACATGCAACTTCAGAGATTCAGAATCAAAATGCAGTTGGTTCTTACCTCCTTGTCGCTCCCGGCGGCCTTGGCGAACCGCACCAGGAAGACGTACGGGGTGGGGACGGTGAGGTTCCACGCCATGCTGTTCAAGATATTCTTCTCCATTGACAGGATCTGCTGCCTCGAGTAGGAGTTATCGGCGATGGATATAAAGTCGTTTACCTGCAGACAGACACTTCAGATTCAGAGTTCGTTCACAGGCAGACATGAACAGAGATTGAGGCAGCTACTCGAACAAACAGGCGATCGATGGATGCAAAGGGGGTGAGAGAACTGGTTTGGCCATACCTCGGGCGCCCAGATCTCCTCATATTTGCAGGCGATGAGCATGGCCGCCATGCCGACGAGCTGCAGCTCCCGCCGCGGCACCGCCTGCAGGGACAGGAAGCGATCGATCACGTAGATCGTCAGGTACATGCTCTCGGGCATGAGCTCGAACTTGTGGGTCACTTCCACTAGCCAATCTATCAGGATAGCCCTCATCTTGGGGTTGACCTCAGTCTGGCTGCCCATGTAATCTATCGGCCGCCACTCGTGCTGCAACACAGATTGGTGAACATCGTCAGAACAGTTGCTTGCTGCGTGTCACTTGAACAGGCACGCTGAAGACTGAAGAGGGATGTTTGTGGTTACCTGTGCCTCCTTATAGTACTTGTAGATGTCGTCGATGTAGTCCACGACGGCCAGCTCGTTGTCACCGTCCAGCTTGTCGATGTCATCTATCGAGGCCTCCTGCATTCACAAGAACACGCGAGCAGAGTCAAGGCACTGGGATGAGCAAAGTTTAGGTCAACAGAGGTGTTGGTTGGATGGAGCGGCTCGCTCACCTTCGACCGATGGTTGAGCACAGTCGTGAGGGTGTGGACGACCTTCTTCCTCGAGGTCTTGGGGGCAGAGACCTCAGACGGCTTCCTGATTTCGTCGGAACCGGTGACGATCTTGGCGGCGGCCGGCTCAGGGCGAGGGGCGGCGGCGGGCTTGACAGGGACCTTCTTGGCCACCGGCTTCAGGCCGGCCCGCTCTGCTGGAGGAACAGCTACGGCATTCTGCAAACCACCACAGCGATTTAGATTAGAATCCATCATCAAGAAATTGCTTTCGAAGCAAGGCATGCAGGGATCGGAAAGGGAGCTCGGCTCGTGTCCGTACCTTGGATGGCTCGGCCTGCGCCTTCTTCAAGAGCTGGGCACCGAAGCTCCGGGTGATTGGGCGATTGATCCCCGCCGGCAGCTGGATCTTGCTGTTGCAGCGAACAAGAACGGATTCAGTTCAGGAGAAAGAACGGAAGAAAGAAAAGCAGGACGGGATTCGATCGTTGCTGCGCTGATTGATTTTCTTACCCATCGAGGACGTGGGCGTGGACGACGTTGCCGATGTCCCCGAGCACCCGCCTGTTTCCTCCCGCACCGGGGCGGCCGGCGGCGGCGCCCTTCTGCTTCCCTGCGGCACCTGGACATCACGAAAGAGAAACATGAGTAAAGATCAAGGAATCGCTTGTTCAACGCACGGATCGGGCAAGAAACTCGCACACATCAGACTGCCCTGGTGGTAAACACAACTAAAAATCCGATCTTGGCGGATCAGACTCGCAAGACGAACAGATCAAGAACTCGAACGAAACAAGCCGCAAGAAACCTAGCGGTGCAGGAGTCGTTCCCCACGCGGCGCGGCGAGAAAGGGAGATTCGGCGGGCGGGGGGACGGGCGGCTCACCTCTGTTGGCCGCCGGCTGCGGAGCGGCAGCCGCGTTCTGCTGGTTGTGCCTGGTCGCCATGGGGTGCGCTTGTTCCGGCTCCGTTCAAAGGCCCGAGGAACCGGCGAGGCGCTGCTCCTCCGGCGAGCTCCTGAGCGGAACAGGGCG